GTTAGCAGCGAGGTGCAGATACGAAAAGATACAGTGATGCGAGATACAGATACATTTGCCACATTGACACACTGAGCACTTACGGGCTCAGCCTCGCACTCGGGTATTTGCGAAATTTGTCTTCTGGCGGGGGAATCCCCCATCCTACCCACTCCCAGAGGTCCCAAAACGCCCGCATCTTATGAGATTTGCACATTGATTTCACCCCCTTTCGATCCGGAGTGTTTAGTAGGTCGCAGTTTCAGTGCTTCAACGGATTTCGTGTGTGCTTTCAAGTGGTAGATTTTATGGTATTTCTGGGGGCCCTTTTGAAGTTAAAGCATTTCAGATTCAACGAGAGGAATGAAACTTGTTGCCTAAGGCCACGTAAAGGTATGTAAATTAAACCAATTTTTAAAATAATTACTATATAATTTTATCAAATAAAAACACCTCTTAACGAGGTAAAAAACTAGTGACGACCGCACCTTCAACATACAAAAGTTCTGATATCAACATTTGTGACGAAAAATTATTACACTCGTCATTAAATAGACTTTCTAATATTTTATCATTTGGCCCGCCCTAGCAAACTATTCCAGCCTTTTTCCCTTCACAGGCATTTTCTATTGCAGCGTGCCGAATGAGAAAATATTAGAAAGTCTATTTAATGACGAGTGTAATAATTTTTCGTCACAAATGTTGATATCAGAACTTTTGTATGTTGAAGGTGCGGTCGTCACTAGTTTTTTACCTCGTTAAGAGGTGTTTTTATTTGATATCAGAAGTTTTTGTTTGTTTACATTTGCTCTCATAGGAGCTAATATATACATTTAAATTTAAATTGGTCAATCATAATTTTTAAACTATTGTATTTTAACAAATTAAGTTAAAAAGGCGTTGAAGTATTTCAAAATACCTTTTAATCGAGGTATAGCACATGTCTGTACCTTTAGTAGTGTAGAACTTACAAACTAACGAAATTTAGCTATTTTTAGCTTTTTCCCGCTAAAGTAGCGGCTTTTTCCAAAAGTCGTAGAACAAAAGATTCCTATATGGAACTCTTAAGTGCAAATTTACTGATTCCATGACCCTAAAATACAGTTCGGATACCCTCCCACAAAATTCAATACTCAGGGAGCGTTAGTTGTTCTGAGCTGGCAAAAGTGGCTATTTTCGTATAAAAATAACTTTTAAACGTGACTTTTTACAGTAATGTGTTATATACCAAAATTTAAGGAATCTCAAGGGCTATACAGTTTAAGGTTTTAAAGAAAATCGTTAGAGCCGTTTTTGAGAAAATTAAAAAAAAGCTAAAAAAAAAGTTTTAACAAATTTTCTTTTGTTCATATCTTTTTAACTATTACATTTACACAAATTGCATATAGCATTTATAGCATTTAAAAATACCTTTCAAACGAGATGCAGCACAAGTCTGTAGCTTTAGTAGTATAGAAGTTACGGCTTTCCGAATTTTAGCTATTTATAGCTGTTTTCCCGCTAAACTAGCGAGTTTTTCCAAAAGTGGTAGAACAAAAGTTTTTAATATCGATGTTATGAACGTCATATCAAATTTTCAGAACTTAAAAAACATATTTTGGACAAGTGGACAAGTGGACAAGTGGACAAACAGAATTAAATTTTCATTTTGGGAAGAAGAAGAAAATCTTATTTTGGCTATAACTTTTGAACGGAGAGTCGGATTTTGACAAATGACCCCTCATTCGACAGGTATTTTTAAAAGGAATACAACTAAAATATTGCGAGGGGGCATTTATCCCCACCGGCCCCAACAGCTCCAAATTTCGAAATTTTCACTTTTTCACTTTCACCGCTCTCTCTCCCAAGCCAATTGATTTTCTTAAAGTCTTGGTATGCAATCCTGTTAGTTTTCGCAATACCTTTCGATAGGTGTATTATTCATTATGATCGGACCATCACAGTAGATTTTCATTTCTTCGTGTATATATAGTAGTCGCCTTCGCACACTCTCCTGGTGCGCTTCGTCATATAATTTTATTAAGGTTGTTTGATTTAAATACGTTTCGCTTTGTTTGTTATTCCTTGCGGTTGTTATTAATTTAAATATGTAAAAATATAAAATGGATCTAATATAGTTAGTTTAAATATTTTAAATTTAGATTGGAATAGAAAATCTATTCTCTTTATAATATAAAATGTTTTAATAAATACATAAATATTTCTTTCATTTCTTTAATATTATACCTTTTAATGTTTCATTTAAAAATGTTAAACAAATTTCAGTAAACGCCAGTTCAAATCATTTAAACACTTTATAAATTACAAGTATTCTTGATTATAAATACATTTGCGGGCTATTAAAAAAGCATCCGATTTGTTATCGCACCTAGGTTTTTCCCATAAACATTCAATTTCTTCAATCACTATGTATTTTTCTCAGCTTCTTCATTTTCACATATTTTTCGCTTACAAACAAATATTTGTCATTGGATTTCAATCGCTTGCTTGGAATCTACTGCTTTTCTCTCAATAACTTTTTGACTTACTTTTTGGCAACTATTAAAAGTTTGAATATAACTTTTTGAGCCAATTGTCCGCACTTTGTGTCAGTCAAAATTGTTTGCGGCTAGTGGCTTGGATCACCAAATGCCCGAGAGGGAAATTAAAATGGCCGAAAATACCATGAATTGGCGAAGTCAGCTGGGGAATTTCGATATTTGCATCCACAAAAATGGAACCACACAGTAAATAATGTGAAAATGAACTTTAAATGTCATTGAATTGGTCAAAATTTCGATTAGCTAAATGTTGCCGAATAAAAAACGAGTTTTGAGTCGGTAAGCTTTTCATATGATAATGCAGTTTGTAGCTGACATTGCAAATGCTGATAGGGCAGCTCAAAGGGCGGGAAAGGGGGCGATAATAACATGCATAAATTTATATATTTATGCTCAACAGCTCATTTAATGAACTGCGCATTGTTCGTGCTGATTTGCATAGCAAGTATCTGCGTAGCGTCGCCCCAAATGTAGCTGTATCTGCGTAAGTACACTGAGAAAAGAAATGGAACTTTCGACTTTCAGTCAGAAATAAATAAATTGTTTAAAAAATTAAAAACAAGAATGTCAAAAACAGTTACTTGTTAAAATCATACATTAAATGCAAGCAAACGACAACTAAATAAAAAATAAATAAAATAAAACAAAATTCTTAACATTACATGAAAACTAAATACACATTTTTTTAACGGATATGTTTTCAATCCATTATTCAAATTTTTATTTTGTGATTTCCTCATAATTTTCTCAGAGTGTCCCAGTATCTGTGTGACAACCTGTCTTTGTGTGCGAGTGCGTGTTTGTTTGCTCGTTAAATGCAGAATAAGCTACACTTAACAATTGAATAACACTCGGTGCTACTTAACTCAACTCCCACAACTGGTCAGTGCGATAAGCAGCGCCTTCCCTTTCCCCCGGCTCATCTCTATCACAGCATTTGTGTTTACCTCTCGTAAATACAAAATTTCTAAAATTAATTTCAGTTCGTGTGTCCGATTTGGAGTCGGTTATCATGCCCTTGCCACTCCCTCCGCCAAAGTGCGATAAATTTTATGAATGTGTATTAATAGCAAAATAAAACTCATATCCCAGTCGGGCGTCGTTGATTGCACTTTGATCGGTAAATAATTAATAAGTAATCGCTTATTTTGTTGCTGTGGTCTCATGAGTAATTTGTTGACCAAAACTGCGGAAGGTTATTTTTTTAATGAGCTAATGAACAAGTATGAAATTTTGGAAGCGCAACCGCCGAAGTTTTATGAAGCAAAAATTAAATAAATTAGAAAAATTCGATGAGAAAAAATTAAATAAATTAGAAAAATTCGATAAGCTGAGCTTATTAATTTAATCATTTTGTAAATAGTCGATTAACGAGCTATTTCTAAAGTATATGAAACATAGTTTATTCAGGTGAGCTACATGTCTACATGATATATAAAATAAGTAGGTATATCTTCATATTTTATTTAACGAATTACCATAACTCATTTTTGTCACCTTGACTCTTTTTAGTATGTGCTATAGACTGCAACTAATTTTCTTTTAAATGTGTTGGGTTTTCCAAAATATTACCAAATAAAACTATAAATATACAGGCTCAACTATTTTTAAAACACCTTATAATTAAAATCACTCAAATAAAAAAGCGAATGGATTATCCAAAAAATAAAAAATGTAGCTTATGGAAAATAGAAAATCCAACTCAGTAACGCCAGTACTTTGAAAATGTTATAAATACATAGGTCAAGTAAATTAAATAATATAATGAATAAATAAATCAAATGATGGTCTATTAGGCCAGTTGGAATAATATTAAATTATATTGAAAATATAATTAATAAATGTGTAGCTCAATAAAAATAAATGAAACTAACGTAGTGAATGGGTTATTAATAAGACCAAATGGTAATGTAGAGATCAAGGGAAGGGATTATAGGTTTTTAAATCAAGTAAAGCATTTGAAGGTCTGCTAGGCCAGTTGAAAAATATTACATGACGTTGATAATTAAATTGATGCCTATTATTTATAGCGTTTTGGACTTTGATTCGTTAGAATTTTATTCAAAATAGTGTTTAACCTTTTCTAGTGCTCTAATCTTGTTAGATTTTACAGTTTTCAAGATAACGATTACTAGGTCACAGGGGTTCTGTTATTTTTAAAAAATATATTAGCTAAAGTTGTTGTTTGAGCATCTGGAAAATGAACCAGCAATGATTCACAAATTTGCAAAGCGTGTGTGTAATTAATAAAATGTAATGTTTTTTCTCTTTCCGGCTGAGCAGAGCAACAACCAGTTGTTATTTGCGATGGGGAGAGTTGAGAAAAGAGCCGAGCTTAAGCGAATCAATTGGCCTGGCAACATGTTGTGTAGTTTGTTTCTGCTGGCCGGGGGAATGTTGCCAGGTGGATCCCCTTGGGGGTATTGGAGCCGAAGTCGGAATAACGACAAAACATCTTCAGTTGCCGCTGGGGGCCGGCGGTTTTGACATCTCGTGCGTAAGTGGATCCAAAGTCAAGACCATTCCAAGCCGGACCCACCGCTTATCAGCCGTTGGCTAGTGACGAAGGCAGGCAGGTTATCGGCGGGTTTAACTAACATTGTGCCCCAGTGATTCAATTCAATCGAAAGTATTATACGTGGTCGGTCGAGTGCTGATTATTTCGAATATTAGTCGTGTGGGGAAGTGTCGAATTTCTCGCGCTCACAGAAGGTTTCTTTGTTGCCGTCAATCGGGACTGTCATCAGTCAACAATTGTGCCTCGCACCGATCGCATCCACAGAGCTAGGCCCTATATCTATCCAAATTCATTGTGTATTTAGTTGAGCCGTAAAATGTCGGCAAAATTGCTAATCGTTACCCTGAGTCTGTGCCTAATGCAGTCGGGAATCGTTGAGGGTATATCTCTGACGTTCGGAAACCTCACGCTCTTCAACGTGAACTTCAAGACGCCGACCTTTTTGGGTCGGTCAGTAGCAGTGGACAGCAACCTGAGGATCGAGACCGATGTGGATCCCAACATACAGGAGGATTCCCATTTGAACACAGTAGGTCGACCTATTTTTAGAAATAATTATAATACTTACATCACTGGTTTGTTGCAAAAATGTAATAATGGAAACGTGTTAAAACCTTTTCGTTTTTGTTCATCGTACTAAGTTTGTTATTTACAAGTATTTAAAAAATATTAGAATTAAATTTTTCCATTTAAGATTATAACGTTTCTGATTAATTCGCAGCTATGTTAATGGTTGTTATGATGATTCAATAAATTTCCATGAAACAAATCAGATTAGTTCACGTGAATCCTCCGTTTTTTTAGTTGTCCATATCAATTACGTGATTTAAAATAAATTCCTATAAAATTATATAGAAGCTAGATAAATTTTTATACTCATTTCAACTATTAACATCATCTCTCTCTGTTTCTCCCCTGCAGTACAGTCTTATAAATAAATATGGCTACCCGGCGGAGAATCACACCGTGGAGACCGATGACGGATATATACTCACGCTGCACAGGATCGCTCGACCGGGAGCCACTCCCGTGCTTCTGGTGCATGGACTGCTGGATAGCTCAGCCACTTGGGTGATGATGGGCCCGAACAAGGGACTTGGTAAGATCATAGGCTATCTCGGAGTGCCCCATACTGATTGCGTTGCTCTGTTCCAAAGGTTACCTGCTCTACGATCAGGGGTACGACGTCTGGATGGCCAATGTTCGGGGCAATACGTACTCGCGGAAGCACGTGAAGTACAGCACCCACCATGCCAAGTTCTGGGACTTTACGTTCCATGAGATGGGGAAGCACGATATCCCCAGCACGATCGACTACATACTAAACTCGACGGGAGTCAGTCAGCTGCACTACATCGGCCACTCGCAGGGAACGGTTGTGTTCTGGATTATGGCCAGCGAAAGACCCGAATATATGGACAAGATCGTCCTGATGCAGGGCCTGGCCCCAGTGGCTTTTCTAAAGCACTGCCGGAGTCCAGTGGTCAACTTCCTGGCCGAGTGGCACTTATCGGTGAGCGTAAGTTACCCCATCCTCTTAACCCCATCCTTTTGAAGAGTGTTTTTGCGTTGGAATATTAGGGATTGTCCTCATACTAATATCCAATTCAAATCCTCTTCCTCCTTTGCATTTCCCTGTGGTCTTCTTCATACTTACGAATGTTTTTCCTCCCCAATTTAGTTGGTGCTCAAGTTGATTGGAGTCCACGAGTTCCTGCCCAAGAACGAGTTCATCAGCATGTTCAACCGGATCATTTGCGACGAGACGACCATTACAAAGGAGATCTGCTCGAACGTGATCTTCCTGACCACCGGATTCGACAAGCTGCAGTTGAACGAGACAATGCTTCCGGTGATCGTGGGTCATTCGCCGGCCGGAGCCTCCACCAAGCAGATGCAGCACTTCGGGCAGCTCAATCGCTCGGGAGCTTTCCGGCAGTACGACTACGGATGGCTGAGGAACCACTGGCGTTATGGGACCATCGAACCGCCGTCTTACCATCTGGAGAATGTCCGGGCCAAGGTGGCCCTTTATTATGGCCAGAACGACTGGTTGGCCCCGCCGGAGGATGTGGAAATGCTGCACAGGCAACTGCCAAATGTGGTGGAAAAGTATCTGGTGGAGGACAAGGAATTCAACCACTTAGATTTCATCTGGGGCATCGATGCCAGGGAATTGCTGTGGGACAGAATGCTGGAAAACATGAGAAATCATGAGAATTCAGTTATCTAAGCGGGTAGAATATGGTTATAATTTAATTATTCACAGTATATTATATTTTACGGCTATTCATAGATTAATTTATTATTTAATATAAAATTAACCTAATTTTTTAAAAAACACGAAAATATATGCATTATATTAATACATGTTTGAAACTTTGTTCTTGTGATTAAGATATAACAATGTTTTCTTTATTCACAAAGAATTTTTAGAAATGTGAAAGCCTATTTGCCCAAGCAATATTTACACACACCAATATTGTTTTAACTTACTAAAAGCATTTAAATATCGACAGACCCGCTATTCAAAGGTTAAAATGCCGAATTTTTATTGCCTATAAATATTATTTAGCGGCCTATAAGCGTAGCTTACTTCAGGTATCACTTGTAGCTTGTAGAGATCGGACCAAAAGAAAAATAAAAAACAAATAAAACTAATTAAAAAAGTTCTCGTAAAACTAAATTTATTAACAGGATATTTGGTTTCCATATTATAAAAATTCAGATCACGTCCGTCTGTAACTAACTAACTTTATAGAAACAAAAGTAAAATGTAACGTTATGGCTATTCGTACGTTTTGGGGTATTTTAAAGCTTATCTTACTCATTTAGTTATTAGAATGCAACTGGTTAATTGTAATTTCCTTATATCTCCCCCGTCCAGTTCCAATTGATTCGTAAACATAGATATCCAGTCGAGAATTACACAGTCCAGACTGACGACTGTTATTTACTGGGTCTGTTTAGGATCGCTCGGCCTGATGGTTCACGGTCTACTAGATAGCTCAGTCACTTGGGTGATGATGGATCCAAGTCCCTAGGTAAGATTATAAATTCCATTAAATTTAACTGCACTGAGATTGATTGACTCTCGAAGGATACTTGCTTTATAAGCAGGGCTACGATGTCTTGATGACCAATGTGCCAATACCTATTCGAAACTTCATGTCCGGTACGCAACCGATGATCATGCATTCTTAAACTTTTCCTTCCATGAGATGGGCGTTTATGATCTGCCCAGCCTCTTACGATACATTTGTTGCTGGCAGTGAAATTGTTCATGTCCATATAAATTCATATTCAGTTTCTTTCTAGGTCGACTGGGTTCAATTAATTCCTGCTCAGCAATGATGTGATCAACGTGTTTAAGGAAATTGCCTACCACGATACGCCTGTTTCCAACTAAGGTGCGAGTACTTGCTGTTTACCATTTTCGGATTCAACAGGCAGTAGCTTAATTAGACTAAGAACCGGATCCAGATCCTGGAGGGTCACACGCCGGCAGGAGCATCCACCAAGCAGATGCACCACTTCGGACAGCTGAGAAACTCAGCACCACTACGGATTGTAAAACTGGATTCTTTATGGCAGCCTCTGTCCAGCGTCTTACAAACTCAATAATGACTGGACCAAAATGGCGCTCTATTACAACAATAACGACTGGTTGGCTTCGCCGGAGGACGTGGATCTACTCAACAACAGTCTTCCCGATATATCAAGTATCTCGTCTCAGATGAAAACTTCAACCATTTGGATCTCATCTAGGGCATCGACGCAAAGAAACTTGTCTGGGACCTAATGATTGAAGTTATGAAAATGCGTAAGCACCACATTTCTAATTTTGATGGCAAGGATTTAGTATTTTTTGAGTCCAATCAAGATGTTAAAGAAAATACTATATAAACACCATTGTCTAATCAAATATCTTCAATGATTTATAAAAGGAGAGTTGAAATGAGTATCGCGTAAAAAGTCACTAACATTGGATTTAATTTAACTACCTTATATTTATTTATTTGCAATGCATTAATCACGTTAGTTAGAGGCGTGTTAGTTAAATAATTACTTTTTGTCCGCAACCGGTTTCGCTCAAACTCAATAACTTCAAATTCTATGGCTATTAACAATTATGTGTGAGTTATCAGTCTATTAATGCGCCATTCAGCTTTCACATCAATTTACACGACCTTATCCAACTGTCAACTTGTTGCTCTTTCCACTTCCATTTCCACCTACCGAGCTAGGGAAACTCGTTTAATATATTCTAAACAATGAGAGATTACTATTTTATGCATATTGATTGCCCTGATTCACGTGAGATGCAATCGGGTCAAGGAGGGGTGCGAGTTAACTAGCTTGCCAACTAAAATTAGCTGCTCGGATCAAAAATGGCACACGACTAAATTCCACGCTCAGTGGCAATTGATCGCGCAACGGGAGTAGTTCTAAATCCAATAAAAACTTTACGACTCATAATAAATTGGAAAAAATTATTCTCTGTGACAGGATTTTAGAAAGGATATCGACAAAGGGGAAATATTTTAGGAATAATGTCAGGAAGCTTATTAATTAAATATTATTGTGAAATTAAACGGAAGTTGTTTAAACTAAATATAATTGACTTAAACATAAATTAAAAAATTAATTCATAACGTTTTTTTAACTTTAAAAAAAATTTAAAAAATATTTGGACATAAACAAAAAAATAACGTATACCAGAAACAAAATAATAATTATTAACTGGAATAAAAAAAAGGGACAAATGTTTTAATTAGTATTTGAAATTAATTAAAAGCCATACGGGATATTAAAAATTAATCGTAAATTGAATGTGATTAATAATGAAGACTTGAGATTAATACTAACATTAAGCCAGATAATAAAAATATAAGCACCAAATAATATATTATATTTTAGTAAAAATAAACTTTAAAAATAAGAAAAGGATATAAAAATGATTAAGATATAAATAAATATAAATAAATATTATAAAAATGTTAATGGTGGTACGCAATAAGTTTATATCTATAAATTGAAGAAGATATCAATATGTCAATCAAACATCATCTGAAACAAAGTTTTTAATATAAAAACCAAAAACATAATTTATTAACTAAAACTAAAAAAACGAATTAAAAAACTTAAAATCAAAATGTGTTGACCAACAAAAAGCCAGATAATCCAAAAATATGCACTAAATAAAATATGATATTATGGTAAAAAACTTTGAAAATAAAAAAATAACATTAAAAATTGTCTTGATATAAATTAATATTTTTTATTAATCTGAAACAATGTTTTAAATGTAAAAGCCAAAATCCTTAGTAAAATTCTAGGAAATTAGTGGACTTATCGTTATTTAAATAAAGATAATTATAAAAAAATTGCAAGGTTAAAGTTTGTGTTGAAACCTTTTTAATATCGATTAACTGCAACTTAAAACAATTGTCTACATGAACTATTAACAGAAACAGATCTCGCCTAAAGCACTTGATTGGCCAATTTGGATTGTTTCAATTAATTCTGTCCATATCCAAGTGCATGTTGCAAATTGCTGCGATTAAAGTAAAGATATGTTTAGAAGCTTCATTGTAAAGTACATGTATGGCAGTTTGATCTGCCTTTACTTTTCTTGGAACGTGGTTACTTGCGATTTGATAAGGGTCGAAAAAAACATTTTAGAGGATGCCAATCTGATCACGGTAAGATATTTAATAAATAATTTTGGTAAATATGAATTTATTTTATTTGCCAATTTTATTTAAAAAATGTTTTTCAGCCCGATCTAATCAAAAAGTATGGATATCCGGCGGAAACCCATAAGATCCAAGCAAAGGACGGCTTTGTGCTCACGGCTCATAGAATTCCAAAGCCGGGCGGACAGCCGGTATTGATGGTACATGGCCTGCTGGATAGTTCCGTAGCATATGTGATACTGGGTCCGGAAAAGTCCTTGGGATTCCTGCTCAGCGATTTGGGATACGATATTTGGCTGCTAAATACCAGGGGAAATCGATATTCGCGCAAGCATAAGCGATTCCACCGATACCAACCGCAGTTCTGGGATTTCTCCTTTCACGAGCTCGGCATGTACGATCTTCCTGCTGCCATCGATTATGTCCTTGCGAGGAGCAAGGGATTCGAGCAGGTCCACTATGTCGGTCACTCGCAGGGCACAACCTCATTTTTTGTAATGGGTAGTGAGCGGCCTGCCTACATGAAAAAGATCAAACTAATGCAGGCCCTGGCTCCCGTGGCATATTGGGACAACATCGATTCACCCATTATCCTGACCTTTGTAAAATATTTGAGACCCTTGACCGTAAGTGTTTTAAGCTATTTATTTAGTGAGAATTAAATTATTTAATACATTTTCTTCCAATTAATTATTAGTTCATTGCTAGATCGTTTGGCATTTACGAATTTCTACCTGAAAACGATGTGTGGCAAAGACTCGGTCATAAGATCTGCAGCTTTATTTTTCAAAACACGTGCACCTACTTCATCCAGGAACTAATGGGCGTAGACTACCAACAGTTCAATACTAGCCTCGTGCCGCTTTTTACGGGACATGCATCTTCGGGATCGTCACTCAAGTCCCTGGAGCACTATGGCCAGCAGATCCACAGTGGAGGCTTCTTCAAGTACGATTACTACAACGCCTGGGAGAATCGAAGAAGACACGGTGCCGACACCCCGCCACAGTACAAAGTGGCTAACGTGGATTGCAAAGTGGCACTGTACTACAGTAAAAACGATCGCCTGACCTCCGATAAAGATGTGCTGAGGTTACGCGATACTCTGCCGAATGTGGTTCACGATTACCTGATTCCTGATCCCCGATATAACCACGTCAACTTTATTTGGGGAAATGACGTCAAAACTCAGCTATATGACCGAATGCTGGAAATTATGCGGAAAGTGGACAATGGCGAGTTATAGGTTGACTTAAGAAAACTATTAGAGTGTGCCAAAAAGAAAACCAAATTAATTTTTTTAAGAGAATGAAAAAATGTTGGTGTTAGAATTACCTATAGGTATCAAGTATACTTTAAAAATATTGATAAAGTGTAAAAAATGTCGTTAAGTTTTTTCTTAAATTTATCGTAATTTTTAAGTAGAGTTTTTAGTAAAATTGTTTGTTCAATTGCAATTATTAAAAATATTTCGTTGGGTGAATTCAAAAGAGCTATTATTTCCGTAATGCAAAAACTAAATTAGAGAATAAAAAGGATTTATAAAATAAATAAATTAAAATATACTGCTTTAAATTTTAGAGCATAATTTGTATTTTGATTTAGGCCAGTTTATTTATTGCAAGTAAGTAAGAAACTCGTAAAAAGCTAAAAGATAAAATGCAAACACACTTTCAAAATTTAATATACAAGCTATTTTTGCATTGAAATTTTCAAGCTGAGTTGTAAGCTTTGTTTCGCTTTGTTAACTCAATCATTTAACAAGAATTTATAAGCCGCAATTAAGAAGCTCACGTGCTCGAAATACTTTGCTTAATTTAAGTCTACTTTGTCATAATTCCTTCCTTCCACAAATAAGCTCATCCTTAGACCAACTTGTTATTTAAAGTTATCATTTGGGCCCAATTAAAATGCAGAGCACCACTTAAATATGTTTTTAAGATGCAAAGACTCATTTAAATATATTTGAAACTTGGTTGCTTTCTTTGCTTACTGTCTCACTCAACGGCAGACTTATTGTAAATTACCATAAAACGCATCGAAACATGAAATCAGATTAAATATTTAAATCGGACAAGAGGCTTGTGGCTTGCCAAAAAATAGGAGGAGCTGCCAGCATATGCTGATAATATATTTCCATGGAGCTGGCGGAAATTTATTGCAAGTACATTTTATTTAAAACTCCATTGCATCTGACACATCGAAGCAGGGGAGTCCCCTCCAGCTCTGTGCAGTTGCCAAAAAACTGAAATTGCCACTGACACTGGCGCGTACACATCTACGTATGTGAGAGTCTCTTTTTTCGGGTGTGCCTGGAAACCACAAGAAAATAAAAGTGTCACTCTATAGATGCAAACTTAATTGTTTGCAGTCTGAGTCCGAAACCAGTAGAACAAACAAAAGCATTTGATATTGTGCCACAGAGGACGGGGCTGCCACAAGTTTCCATTTCTAAAATAAAGGCCGAGCAATCTGCTCACAAAAATGTAGAGAATACGTTTTGATTGCGAGGTTTATGTAGGAAATCATTTTAAAGTGAAAACCAAACCAGCCAACTTTGAGATGGCTGCGTGAGCAATACTTTCAATAAATATATCCTCCGGGTAATTATTTGAGATCCTTTAAAAACGTCAAAACTCTGAATATTATATTTTAGTTAAGAGACTATTATCATAGTATTTAATGGTATTTAAGAGTAGTTCAACAAATATAATTTATAAAAGATAATAATTATAGTTATTTCTGGAAAAGTACATTTGAATATTTTTCTATTAATAAAAGTGCATTTTAGCTTGGAGCGGTTTATTTCACCCACTCCCCAGTTAAATTCCAGACATTTTTCTATCGAAGGCTTAGGCATTCGCCAGCTAATGAGCTTCTTCAGTCCTCAGCTAGTTGTCATCACTGGGCACAAAAATCATTTTACACAACTTTGTAAGCTGCAACGTGTCGGCTACTTGATGTGGTGCGATGCCCGTCACCCCCTCAGTGCATTGTTCTCCTGATCCCGACTCCGAGTCTGTCTGTGGACTCCGCCCGTGTGTCGCCGCCGCCTGCTGGACATGTCCGGGCATGTCAAAGCCCCGGGTGTTGTTTTCACGCCCACAGGCAACAGGCGAGGCAAGGACAATCCCAATCCCTCTTCCGATCCCCTGGAATTATTCAGACGCCTGGAGCCCGGGAGTATCAATCATGTCACTTGACCGAGCGGAAATCGAGTTCTCACAGAAATGCAAATGGGACTTGGCCTCATAAAGTTTCGAAAACCGAGAGAGGGAGACTCGGGGAATGGGGCACTGAGAACAACGCTCAGCAGCAAATTAAATTGTCAATTCGGTTTGGGAAATTCGTTAAAATTCTGTGGCCACCATTGTATAATGCATTTACATGTCCGGAGTGCGGAGTACGATTAGAAGTGCGCCCAAAGAAAGCAGGTCCTTTGTCCAGGACCTGCCTCTGTGGCACAGATCGCCGGCAGAAACAAAAGCCGTGCCAGAAAACCAATCGAAGTCATTTGAAGATTTGCGCACCGATTTGCATTTGAATGGGCCGAATGGCTAAAGTTCGAGTGTTTGGCTTTCTTTTCTCTTTTGGCCAGGCTTAGGTCAAGGACCAGCTGCTGTTGTTGGAAGGGGCGTGGTTGCGCCCACAGCATTGTTTGGGGCAAACTATCAACAACTGGAACTACACCCGAAATAGCCCCAAACTCTTTGGCTTGTCAGCTGCAACAATGGGATAGGCCCGAAGTGTTGTCTACTTTCGGGGGTCTTACTTTGGGTATTAAAGGGAAAATTGTGGGCTAAGTAAAGTAAACAACAAATGAACTACTACAATTACCATTAAATATGGGTGTTCCACTTAAATGAGGAATATAACATTGGATTCACAGTTATTTGGTAATTATTTATTTATTATTTAACTGTCAGTCACTGCTAAACATATTTAACACTTTTGGCAATCGCATAAATCGATTCAGACCATAAAATTATTAGCTGTCAAAGAATACAACTATTCAATTAGTTTTGTTTTCATATGCACGTGCGCATCCATAATTTGTTAAAATAACATTTGGAATATTTTTCTGACGGGTCACTAAACTAAATATAAATAATCAATAAAATATATTCTTTACTCCCGGTCCGTGTCATTTTTAATTGAAATAGGTACGAATTATTACTCGGTATCAATATCTTCTCTGCAATAGCCAGCTGTCATATTCGTTAATTCAATTAGTGATTGGTTTACCATTTTATCCACCGTCTGCTCCCAATTCCCTTGCATTCTGAGGGCAATAAGGAAAGTGGAAATGCCAGAGCAGAGCTCGAGAATCGAAATAACGAAAACGAAAACTGTGGGCCATCCATTTTCCTGTTCAGCAGTTGTGTTGCTGTAGCTGGCTAATTGAAAATAATTTTTACTAACGATACCCAGTGAAAAGAAAACCAACAGAGAGGTGACTTACGCTACAGCTCCCCTTGAAAACTTAATGAAAAATCAAACCGGGACGTGCGAGGCAGATTGGGTGGCTGGCAGGAAGGTGGGGATCTGTCAGAAGCCAAGAGGTGCAAGTGCAGGTCGAAGCCACAGAGGTTTTTCCCCTCCCCCTCCAGAGGGTTTTCCCTCCTGCCATTCGGTGGGAAACGCATGTCAGGTGAGCAGTCGAGCAGCCAACCGGAAGTGCTTAACACCAACACGTGCACGAATGTGGCCATTTTAAACTCACCTAGACACTCACACACATTTCTCCACCCAGCTGGAAAACAAAATGAAAAACAGAGCTCAAGGAGAATGAAGAAGAACATTCTTCGGGTTAGTTTTCCTTGGCCAACTAGCTGCAAAACTAAAGTAAACTAAAAATAATTTTTGTAAATACACAACTAGCCATGAAAGGTACTTATGTGTGTGCGGAAATTCCCTTCCACCTGTGCAAATGCTGTTCTGCTGAAGTGCCTGAAAGCCAAGTTAATACTTGCAAATAATTTATCGAGTGCATTTATAATTGATGTTATGTGGTTCTTCCCTGGACCATCAGATCCCGTCCATTGTTTGCAGTTGCGTTGGATGTTCAGTTTAGTGGGAAAATGTACTTTCAATTACTATTGGAAATAAAAGTGAATTTATATCCATTCAATTGAGTTTTATGGTTTATTGGAACTTTCAGTTTAACTGGCCAGAATGAGAAGAAATGGTTGAAAAATTAACTTAAAGGAAGACACATATGTCTGCCCGTGGAGACGGGCTTTCTTCAGCAGCATACCCAATGGAAAATCACAAAACAGCTAATAACAAATTTTAATTAACAGTGAAAACTGCATACAAAAAAAGTATCTGATTTCATAAACAAATGCGCAATTTGATTTCCACCCAATTTAGTTCAGCACAAACCACCGAAAACAACCCTGGCTGGGAACATAAATGTATATTGTGTTACCAGTACAACGAGTATTCCCATATCATAGACACTCGTCTCATGTTTTCCTAGCCAAACAACTTTTCTGGCCATCATTTTTCGGACAACAAAGGATGGAGCGCAAGGGGAGCTTTACATGCTGCAAGTACATCAAAATGTCTAAAATTTCATAATTGCAATGAAGTTTCCACCATGGTCGACTCCAGGCGAGAGATATTCCTTGCGTTTCCCTGGGTCGACTCCCCCGCAATGGAATACTCACAACGTATTTAATTATATGGTGCTCTGTTTTTGTTTATTCTGAGGTTTGGGGCAGAACTTTGAGCAGCTGTTTTCGGTTTTACTCTGCGGTTTCTGCTATTTTAAGTACGCAGATACAAAGGATAAGCTCTTGTATTGCTGTATAAAATTGCATTTTAATTAATTTAATTGCAAACACGCGAGCTTCCTGTTATTTTTATTAATATCAACAAGTCTTTGAAAGAATTTTTTTACACAGTTTTATCTTTTTATTTGGCTTACCTAAATGAGAAATTGAAAAATAGATCAAAAGAAAGCGAAATCTAGAAAGACAACTTTTTAACTTTTCCTGCAACCGAAAACCGCGAAAAGAAATTAAAGTTCCACTTTCCGTAATTAAGTAAAAATCGTTGCCCCCGGAAATGAACATCGAACGATTTGTCATGGCTCATAACTTCCTCTTTATCTTCGCTTTAACTCGTTAACAAATGTGTCCGAAGACTCTCCCCCCAACCACCCACCGAAGACTGAAAAACCCAATTTAAGGAGAGTGTCAGTTGGTGGCACACAGAAAACACAACCTCAGGCGGTGGAAACAAAAAATCGCCCTGAAAATGGCAGAAAAAAAATCAAAAAATCTAATTAAAAATTTGCTGCAATTCGAGATAGTCCCGGGCCCACCCAAAAGCCCCTTGCCTCGCAGGGACAAACAAAAAAGCAATTACAATGCCTCAAACTGTTGCAACTTCCTGCAATGACAACAGAGGCGCTAAGCATGGTACACAATATTAGCAGTCAGACCCCCTCAATTCCCCTGTTGAACATTTTCCCAAAAAAAAAAGGAAGTAAACCCCACAGAATGGATCCCCAGCAGCAGTCCTGTGAGTCCGCTGTGTGAGTGTAGTCCGGCGAACAGGCAGTCAGGATATCCTACTGGTTACCAGTTACCCTCTGCGCATCCCCGATGCTCCGATTTTGGTAGCAGTTTCAGCGTCCGTCTGTGTTAAATACGCGAATGTCCTTCCTAATCTCATTTGGTGATGTTATCCTGAACGAGTGAGCGGAGCACGGACTCCACGGAGCAACAACTGTACGCCAGGCTCCTTGCCGCTCCTTCTCCCTCTTACCCTCCTCCTCATGGCTTTGGCAACTCCATTTTTGGTTAAACTTTTTACATATTGTTCGCCAAAGTTGAATAAAAGAATCCTGTCGTGGTACCGTGCCAATATTTGTAAAGCTGTCTACCCTTTATGACTAGGCGCAATTTTGAAACCATATTTAATTGGGTTCAAAATGCCTTTCATAAATATTATATTAAAGTTGAGGGATCTATAAAACAATAACACATTCCAGTAACTAACTAATACAGATTTTTACTTCAAATCTCATAACAATATAACATTTTTTACTACCAAGAGTTTGTACGACTTCAGGATTCCTGATTCTACAGGGTATTCACAGAGTCAATGATGATTTCCATTTGGTTATGGTTATTATAGCCAAAGTATTTTTTGCTGTTTGCGTTCCTACCCGCGTACGTGGGCTTCTTTTCTGTGTGGGTGGGTGTGTTTGTTAACCCGACAATGACGACGGATAGCGAATCCTGCCCGCTTCTGTGGCCGCTGCAACCGCTGTCTCCGCTTGGAGCACGACCAAACGCATGAAAGAGTCGAAAGGAGGGTCGATGGGCTTGGGTATATGGAACTGGGCTTATAAAGGAAGCAGGGGAGCGGAGAGATTGGAGTGGGTCTGCAGAGACACGTACACAGAGTCGCACAGCAAAAGCCAGGCTAAAACGCCGCCAGTCAAAAAATTTGCTGCTTTTCTTTTCGCCCTTTTTTTATTCCTGTCCAGCAGCTTTCCCCGAAAAAGCAGGGAAAAGTGCAAAAAATGTTTCGCACCCGCGGTGGCCAAAGTATTCCTGCTATTCGGGATGGCGCCCGAGCAGGGACGGAGTGGCGTGTGTTTGGGGGCACTGTTATTATTGCGTTTTTATGCATGCTCGCATATGGCAAATGTCCTTGGCCATGGTTACACCACATGATATACGGCATTAAAGTGGACCAAAAAGGCGCGAGGATGAGGCGAGGATTTGGGGTGCGAAAGTGGTTTTCACTGCGATGTGTTCCGGCAGTCTTAGTGGCCAGCGAGCATGCTAAAAGTTTTTAAATATTTTAAGCTGCAGTGAATTATAGCCGTTGTCGTTGGGCTCTAGTCGATCCCTGGAATTCTCCCAAAGTCGAACTAGAAATATCAGTGGAGTTCATTTTTAAGTTTTAAAATGTGTTTTTAAAACAAACATTTTAACTGACGCAGTAACATTTCAGAGCAGCTTTTGATCTAGCTGAAAATGTGTTCATTTTTATGGTGATGCAATAATTAGCCGTTCCATCAAATCCGGTTAAGGTCACCGTTTCCCACTGCGATAACCATGATACACAGACTTTTCTTCGGCGCCATCCCCTTTCCAAAGTTAACACTTGGGCCAGGAAAATATAAAAATCAATACTACAGCAATTAGGCGCCCAGCTCTTCCCCTCTGTTCGTCACTTGCTGTCCGATTTTGTGATTTATTGGTAAGCCAGAAAAAGAATACAAGATGGAGAGTTAAGGACCTGCGTGGAAAAAGTAAAATAAACAACAATAAATTGAGGCAAATTAAGCATTCGAATGCGTTGCCTGTCAATATTTGCATTGCCAAGTGAGACGTTCGCTTGAAAGGTGAGGGGAGCCACTTAACACCTCCCGATTCCAAATCCAGATCAAATACTCCAACAGGAACGTGGCTTATTAAGTCGAACGGATTACGCACTGCCCTGGGAGGGGCTACGGGTGTCAGGGGAAAGGGCAGTTAGACACTTTCCACGATGCACGATTGTGTTGTTGGGCTCGCCACCCTTTCCCTTAACTGTTCTACAAAACGTGCACTTAAATAAATTATCACAACAATACTCCTATAATATAAATAATGAAAACCATTTTATTAGTTGAACACTTTTGTTCAGTATTTATAGTATTGATTGGTATTGTACGACAATTTATTGATTTCTTGAAACTTCCCTTAAACTTTAAAATGCAAGCAGATCTAGATCCAGTACTTTCTACACTTTTTCCCCGTGTAGGTAAACATCTAGAGCAGGTCACCTATTTGTATTTGGCTTTCAGATATCGAATGTCAGTTACCGTGGGGCATTCTTCATCATCCTCAATCGCCGGCTCTCGATTTCCTGCTCGGTTGGCCGCTTCGGTGTCAAAACAAACTCGAAAACAGCCTGAGACAGAGTCCGATTCAGAATCAGTCAAACAAACAGCGTGGTCTAATAATATTTGTAGATCGTAGAATCGTGGACGCTGACACCTCCGTTGGGGAATGAGGAATATGTACGCATATAGAAATAGGAATGTCGCCATGTGCGCGAGTGGGTCGGTGGCCGGGCTTATCAGTCGACTAGTGGTGCAGTGGTGGCACCGACATTACCTGTTCACTTACCTGATCTCCTTACAGTGGTACTCGAAAAAAACCCTTCAAGATAATCTCAAAGCAGAAGGGACTTTCCATTGGTGTAAAAACTAATAATTAAATATTCTTAATATTTCTTTTGAATACAAAAAATTATTATAAATTTATAAATTATTATAATTAAGCAGTATAACTTAGAGTAATTAGACTAGTAAATTAGTAAATACTTACTACTTACTGGTTTTTACTTATTTATTACAATTAATTAACATTTGGACAGGTGTGCAAGTCAACTTTTTACACTCTTATCAGCTCGTCATGTTCAATGGGCTTAGGTTCAGTCTGCCGATAAGACCGATAAAGTGCAATTTGTGCAGAGGTTTTTTGTTTAAAGAAAAACAATCATTTTTTGTTTGTTGTTAAAGTGTAGTTAAGAATTAAAAAAAAAAATTACTATACTTTAACTATTAAAAGTATTGCTTATTTTTAATGCATGTGCTTGTGTATTCGTGCACCAGTGGCTCTCAAAATGTAACCGAACTGTTGAGTTAGAAGGTTCGAAGCAGCAGCTTGTGTGAATTACACCGTTAAAAATTTGTATTTAACGGAAATGTTTGCAAATCAAATTAAATAAAAATACTACGTATATTATAAAAGATAAAAATAAATAGAATGCGAGTTTTAACCGACAAATTAAGGTCCTGGATAAGAAAAAAGGAATCTGAATTAAAAGCAAACGGCCCAGAATCTGTTTACTTTTAATTCTATAAATTCAGAAAAATTGATGGAAAAGTACACCTTTGTATATTGCTGCTACACTGCTCGACAGTGTTTTTGGTGCAAGTCTGTGGGCATTTAATTGTGTTAATATTAATATTTTTATGCCCTTTACCGCATGAAATATATTGTGAATTTTACTGTGTGCTTGACCTCGAAACGTTAGCAGCGGCAGAAAAATTGCCTCTGCTGGCCACCAGTGATCTATATTTACACAATCTAATGTCTGTCGGTCTAAAATATCCATTTTGTTGACCATGGTATTGTCCGTTAAAAATTCAGAACTTTATTTGAAAACTATTTTAAAAGTATTTTTCTGTCAGTGCAGTGGTTTGAGACGCGAGCCAACATGTTCGAATCGCCCACACGGTGGTGGAAACAGCATTTTGGGAAGAAGTTCGTTTGCGTTGCCGAACGCAAAGTGAAACCTCGGTAGGCAGAAGCGAGTTTTTCCCCGCCAGTCTTTCAAAAATTTCATTCGAAGCGGTCGTGTTGCGGATAGGTACAGTTGGAATTCGTCGAGTTCAAACGTAAAGCGCGAAAGTTAAAGAAAGAAAATTAAATCGGAAATTATTTTCAAAACAAAAGGGACATTCTAAATATTTGTGGTTGGACGAAGTGAATTTTACACGAATCAATTATAAGAAACGTCTAAAGTGAAATTGATTAAAACAATATTATTATATTGGCAAGGACTGATACACTGTTGAGATCCAGACCAATTACCACGGTTAAAATAAATGCACAAATTTGAAAAGTCTTTCAGTAAAAAATATAAAAAACTGCAAAATAACAAAAAAAATTAAAAAACTTTGGATTTTAAATTTTTTTCCAAATTTTAAACAAATCACAAATTTTCTAAACAATACAAATATTGGATTAAAGTGAGACCAAAAAAAAACAGAGTTTTAAAAGAGTACTTTATTAAAGTGAATTGTGTTGAAGATTTAAGCTAGAAAGCAAAAAGTGACTAGTTCTGGTAATATTAAAGCCATGTTGTTCCAAAGTGTGCAGCCAAACTAAAGCAGGGATACAACCGATTCAAACAGGACATCCGAATCATCAATCTCAGCTCGAATCGCATTTAGTTTGCGGACTTTAATCACCAGAAATGGAGGACGAACTGCGCTGCCCCACGTGCAAGCAGCTGTACGCCAACCCGGTGCTGCTGCCCTGTTTCCACGCCCTCTGCTTGGGCTGTGCCCTGGACATCCAGACGCCCTACAGTCCGGGATCGGCTCTTCCGGGGGCTGTCAACGGATCGGGCGGATCCTCTGCAGCGGGACACAATGGGATGCATGGAAACGGAGGTGGTAGCGGCGGCGGCGGAGGAGGAGGAGGAGCTGCCTCCGGCACAAATCCCGGAGGTCCAGGGACCCGTCACAGCTCCCATAGTTCGGCTGCCAGCACGGCCAGCTCCAATACCGGAAGTGAGAGCGTCACCTCCGACCAGGATCAGTCGGACAAGGTGAGCATCTTCAGCGAGGCGGACTCCGGAGTGGTCTGCTGCTCCAACACCTCGCGACCAGTGTCCTATGCCGGAACTGGACTGCTGCCGGGAGTGGGCAACGTGGTGGCTCCGCCCGGAGCGGCCTACTGCCTCACCTGTCCCCTCTGCCGCAAGCTGGTCTTCTTCGACGACGGGGGCGTTAGGAATCTGCCCACCTACCGCGCCATGGAGGCCATCGTGGACCGCTTCTGCGCCCGGGAGGCCCTTCGCTGCCAGATGTGCGAGACCGATCCCAAGGTCGCTTCGTTGGTCTGCGAGCAGTGCGAGATCCGCTACTGCGACGCCTGCCGGGAGCTGACCCACCCGGCCCGCGGGCCGCTGGCCAAGCACACACTGGTCAAGCCGCGTGGCGCCGCCCAGCAGAGGGAGTCTGTCTGCGGGGAGCACGAGGAGACCCTCTCGCAGTACTGCCTTAGCTGCAAGGCACCCGCCTGCGGGTTGTGCATCGGGGAGCTGCGCCACCAGGCCCACGACATCCAGTCCATCAACGTCACCTGCAAGGCCCAAAAGGTGAGTCCTCGCTAGGAGTCCTTTATAATTGTGCATAAAAAGCATAAAAAGCCAGTCATTGCTTGGTTACTTTTGGTTCTATACTGTCTGTGTTGTCATAACTGTGGCAGAGCGGCGGCAGGATTCGAAATTATTGATATATTCAGTAAATGTGAAAGTGTTAAAGTTCTATCCAATTAAATTTCAGTAATAAGGCAGGAGAATATTTTACAGCCTGTTTGTAAACTGAATTTTCAATCAATTTAATGTGTTATGTAATGTGTTTACAAACAAATAATAGCAACACTGCTGGAAATAAAAAAATCGAATGAAATATATGTTATTATTAAATCCTTTTGGATTTGGAAAATAATGAATGATATTTTACTTTAGGTCAATTAAAAATGCTAACAAAATTCAAAGAAGATTAAAAAAATATCCACATGATACTTTATAAATAAAGTACTCAAGAAGCATTGATTAATTACCCAAATGTCAAGTATGCAAAGCCAATTTACAATACAGGCCAAAAACTATAAAGGCAAATGAAATGACAGTGGTGCCAGGAAATACACTGCCGAGAATCAAATGACTCCTTTCGAAAGGAAGAAAAATACGGCATTAGGACAAACTAATTAAGGGCGAAAGTAAGGACCTCAGGAAATAAATATGTATTTACTTGCGAAGGCAAAGCATATCCTGACCACATCCTGACTCGCTTCCTCCTTTCTACTTGCTTATATTTCGAATTCTCCTTTTGCCTTTCGTCTGCCTTTTTGTGGAGAATTTATGGCTTGTCTGCTGGCCCCGAACATTTTTCATGCAACATTGTTTTGGTGCAAGTATTTGGGGATATTGGAATAGGAGGTTCCGCAGTGTTTAACGGATGTTTGGAGATCTATAAAGTTTTAACAAAAAGGTGGGATAGTAAAGAAAGATAATGGTATATAATTCCAAAGGAATTTATATTTAACAAATGCTTCCTCAAGGGGTATCTTTGCAAAGACTCCTCGCCCTTTAGTTATGCAAACTATTTCATTCAACAAAATTCCTTTACAATTCGAGGAGGAGAAACTCACCTTCGTCAGCTTTTTGTTTTGACGGGGGCTTCCCAAGTGCCACAATCTCAAAACTCTGGCACGCTAATTCAGCGATAAGTTCGCCCTTCCTTACCTTTTGGAATTTCATTTCGCAGAACTTCAGTTCCATTTTTCGTGCCCGCTCACCTGTCGTTCGGTAGTTGAATTCATGAATTTCCCGGCTGTCGTCGAATCACTGGCAATTGTCAGCGGCAACAATTTTAATATGGCAAATGTTTCAAGTGCCTGCACATCCTGTCATCCAAGGACAACAAACCAACAGGATCCGAGAAAGGAGCGAGCTGCGGCGAGGACAGACCAAAGTGCGAAAAGTGACAAATTGCAACGGCTGCCAAAACAAAGAGTGACAGCGAAGAAAGGAATCAACTGTCGAGTCAGGTCAAGAAGGATATTGTCCGAAAGGAAATAAGGCAGACGGAATAGAAAGCGTTTTTGTTCTAAAGAAATAAATGCGCAAAAATATTTTACAACTGAAAAGGAGAAAGTGCTCAAAAGTCAGAAGAGCAGTTTAAATTTCAAAAGACAATATTATTTAAAGTAATGTTATCAGAAACAACTTGTTTTCGATTTTAAAGTAAGATATCATCAATTTTATGTAGGTGATAAAAATCTTTAAAATATTTGTATGCCGCTTAAAATATTTTAAAGGCATTACACAGCATTAACTGCGATATTCTTATGGACACATTTCATCTATTTTTTCCACTTTTCATAATTGAAGAGCAAGCTCTTCGATAACGGTATCTAGAACGATTTTCGCCCTATTTGTATATCTATTGGGGTTGAATGTTTCCCCATCAAATTACGCATTCCGGAGCCTTATCAGTTTTATCATTGCCGCAAATGAGGCTCATTTGTGGCCCAGAAAATTGGCAGCCTCTGCCAAGGCCCGTACTTTCCTTGCTCTAGAACGCACCTTGATCGACCTTTTGGAGTAGATGTTCCTAAATTTCTGATTTGCCATTTCCTGTCTGCTTATCTGCTCGCATATCTCCACTCTGACGCATCTTTCCGTCGTCCGGGGGCCTGCAACTGATTTTCAATTTCCATTGTTCGGCATCTTCGCCTGCAGGCGCAAAGTCAAAATTTCTGCCGAACAATGCCGAATGGCAAAATGAATCCCTGTCCCCGGGCAGCTGATTCGGGGCAGCTGCTCACCGCATAATGGCACAGGCCAGGTGAGGTTTTTACCTCCAAATTCCCGCTCAGCTCAGCTCAGCTCAGCCCCGCATGCATGACACACGCACGCAATCCGAGTGACGCCCCCACCTTTCCCCAAAAGAGTTGATAAGATAACCGAGTGGTAGTCATGCATCGAGTCATATGGTCACTTTGAAAAATACTACATCGGTTTTAGCATGGTCAAAATTGGATAGAAATACTTGGTTGTTTTATTTAGACGACACATTCTAAAATTTAAAAGGGAAAAAACAGTTAAACATGAATAAACAAAAATGTATAACTTTCTGAAATCATGAGTTGATCTACATAAATGATTTTACTTTGCAGTTTCTTTTTGAGTCCTTAAAATGATCCCTAAAGTCCTTTTCTAACTACATTAAATTTTCTTTCCGTGTCAAAGATTTATTTGCAGATAAGTTCTCCGTGTTTTGTGCCATTTTTCACACCCATTTGTGGGCGACCTCCCTTTCTACCTGTCATTTCTGGGCCAGGTAACTCGTGTATGTGTTGTTGGGTCGCGTACTTTCCCAACTTGTTGTAGGGCCTCCGTAAATCATTAATTTCGGTGTTTATTATGCAGTTGCTTATTTTGTTCCGCATCCTGTCGGTTTATCCTTGGCCTGCTTTCTGCACCTCGACATTCCTCATTGTTGTTTATACATTTTTTCCTTTTCGCTCCTTGTTCCAGCTCCTTTGAGATTTATGACACCATCAAAGTGCAGTTGTCCGTTGGCTGTGAAAAACATTCTGAAATATTTTGCAACATGTTTCGTGTTGTACCCACCACCATTGCCACCGCTCACCACTCACCACCCGACCCACCCCTCATCCATCGTTTTTCAGGTCCTGTCAGATGATTGCACTGCATTTGTTCCGTTTAATATGGCAGCATTCCATTGTTTTTTCCTCCACCAACCCTGGGGCAACGTTCTTTGGATAGATGTGTGTCGAATCCATCGGAAACCGTCCACAATTCAGGTTATAGTTCTTTGCAGATCTTTCTATCGCTTTACAATGACGACTTTTAATAGGCTATCCTCTGGATTATTAAGGGAGGTGAACAATCATAATGGTTACTGTGTGAATGAGTGTGAAAAATATTTTTTTATATCTTATTTTTATGAAGGAGTCTAAATAAATTGCGTCTTAGAAAATTGGAAATAATTCAGGGATCGCAAGTAAGAGTTACTTTTTTAAAAAAATTGACAAATAAGTTTTATTTTTCAATTTCTATTATAAAAGTTGACAGATAAGTCTTATGCTTCAATTTTTATTATAAAAGTTGACAAATAACTCTTATGTTTCAATTTTTATTATAAAAATCAACAAATAAGAGTTATTTGTCAACTTTTATAATAAAAATTGAAAAATAAAACTTATTTGTCAATTTTTTTAAAAAAGTAACTCTTACTTGCGATCCCTGAAATAATTAAATCGTACGCTCAAATTTAAAAGTGTTTCAAAATGTTACACTCCTAACATTATGAATATTGCTGTACCAGAAAAAAATAAACCTTATCCAAAATTTCTTTCTTTGTATGTATATTCTTCTTCCAATAACTTTTTTGTGCCCCCACAAATTTATCCTGTACATTTGGTGTTTTTTTTTGTGGGCATACTCACAAATTTCTTTTAGCAACGGGGACCTGGCGGGAATACTTCCTTGATGCCCCCACTCTCCCGTTAGGCAGTTCAGTTAATTACAGTCCAATTACAGGAATTTTATGTGTAGATATATTCGGATTTCTGACGTTGGCAGCAGGCTTGCCTGTCTCTCTCTCAATATAATTAAGCGGAAAAATGAATTACATAATTAATAAACAACATTCAGCGCCAGGCTAATTAAGAGCCCAGCGTGTGGGTTGGGGGAGGCTAAGAAAATTAAAGCTGGCTTGAAAGAAAGCTCAGTCACATGAGGATAGCACATCCCTAAAAATGCCAGGATAATGCGTGTTGGGCGAAAGCCAGAACAGAAACATGTTGTGGAAAGCCCAAGTTAATTGCTGAAGGGAAAGGGGGAAAGGAAAGAAAGGCCAACATAAAAAAGAATAGAAGAAAATTCGTGGCAATAAAATGAAACCCAACCAGGCAAAGGCAAACCCGGCTAGCAGTGAAAATTCCTCTCTCGCAAAATAAACAGGGAGATGTACTTTCCCTAATTCATATAAAATGGCCCGTCTCCCTTTTTTGCGCAACTCCAAAATTAATTTGTCACTAGTAAATTTCAACAGTTGCTAGTTCACTAAATAATAACAAACCTCGCTAAGGGGACTCCACCCTGCAAATGGGCTGTAATTTTTACCTGTCTTTCCACCCACCCTCTAGGCTGTTGTTTTTCCAAAGTTGGTTTTGGTAAAAAAAGGAAAACAGAAAGGAATTCGTTTTCCCTAGCGCATAATTTTCGGGCATTTTTCAACGTTTGCTTGGGTGTGTCCCATTCCCCAAAGGGGGTAACTGGACTAAAAATAGGAAGTTTTACTAAGGGAGGGGGTGGGTGGGTCGAAGTAGCGAAGCTAAGTGGCAGTAAAAGTTTACCAGACCTGCAGACATATGCATTATGGAGTCACGTGTCCTGCTCCATCTACACAAGTTTAATGACCAAAAGTCCTCGTCAGTTTAACGGGGGATATGTGACGCAGATATTCCCCAGGGTCTTACATTTGGACAACTCGTCCACGGACCATCATCCTGGCTTTAATTGGCACCCATTCGTCGTTTACTTTGCGATGAACAGATAAA